TGGGCATCTATCCCTGGAGGCTACAAAGTTGTCACAAAGAGTCTGAGATGCAGGCAAAAGAGGCAGATCAAAGCTCCACTCTAAGTTCTCTGAAAAAATTTCTTCTGAAGGAGATGGACCTACCTAAGTAGAGAACAAAAACGTCAAATTTGAATTCTATTTTCAACACCTCCCCTCCCCTTTCACAAATAAAAATTCATATGCATTCCTCACCAGTTAGGTCTTGTCCTATGGCTGTCAGACCCTTAAAAAAATGTGCATTTCTATTTTTATAATGTTTATTCCTGCTTATAAAAGTAATATAGAAAAATTGGAACACATAGATGTGTAAAGAAGGAAATAAAAGTCAGTCATAATTCATGTAAGTATTACACATCCTGGAATAGCTCCTTTTAGTCTTTTTTTCTTTGTGTATACATTTGATGGATGAATATGCTTATAACGGTTATGGGATTGTAATATTATCTTTGTTTTTTTTTTCAACTTAAGCTTTACTGTTGGAATTTCAGAGTTATTAGATGGTAATTATTCTTTTACACAAATTTTTGTGCAATTAACAATTATTTTCATAGCATAAATTTCTGAAATAGGATTAAAATGTCAAAGAATAAAAATATTTTTAAATGTTTGATACATATCACTTAATTATCGTCCAGAAATTGTTTTCTAGTTTACACTCTCCATAGTAACTATGTCCTTTATAAAGTGAATCTTTTTTTTTTTTTTTTTTTTGAGACGGAGTTTCGCTTTTGTTACCCAGGCTGGAGTGCAATGGCGCGACCTCGGCTCACTGCAACCTCCGCCTCCTGGGTTCAGGCAATTCTCCTGCCTCAGCCTCCTGAGTAGCTGGGATTACAGGCACGCGCCATCATGCCCAGCTAATTTTTTGTATTTTTTAGTAGAGGCGGGGTTTCACCATGTTGACCAGGATGGTCTCGATCTCTGTTCACCTGGTGATCCACCCGCCTCCGCCTCCCAAAGTCCTGGGATTACAGGCTTGAGCCACCGCGCCCGGCCTATAAAGTGAATCTTACCAATAGAGACTATGTTTAATTGCTGACAAAACTGTGTGAAATAATTACATTAAATATTATATCTCAGCTTTTGTTTTTTTTTATGTATTATCTTTTCTTCGAATTTTAGAGACGGTAAACTTTTTTCCGAAATCTCATATGTAATAATTTAAATTTTCCTTGTCTAGTCATATTTGCTTAATGCTCTACTAGATGGAACATTTTATTTGAAGGAGTTTTTTTTTAATAATTAAAAGATTTTAACCCTTTGAATATGTGTTGAAAATAGTATTGCTTCTTGTTTTATTACTTATTTTTACCTTCTTTTGTTTGATTGTTCCCTAAAAACTTTTAGGGAACATTATGGACAAAAATCAAAATGTCAGGGGAATTTTTTTCTCTAGTCAAGCCAATCAACCTTTATTACTTCTGTGACGTTTATTTTATTTTAAGACGGAGTCTTGCTTTGTTGCCCAGGCTGGAGTGCAGTGGCGTGATCTCAGCTCACTGCAACCTCCATCCCGCAGATACATGCGATTTTCCTGCCTCAGCCTCCCAAGTAGCTGGGACTACAGGTGTGCACAACCACGCCTGCCTAATTTTTTGTATTTTCAGTAGAGACAGGGTTTCACCAGATGGTCTGAATCTCTTGACCTCATGATCTGCCCACCTTGGCCTCCCAAAGTGCTGGATTACAGACGTGAGCCACGACGCCCAATTTCTTCCGTGGACTTCATTTAGAAATTTCTTTTCCCAAATAAATAGCAAGTTGTTAATAGTTGTCAATCTTAGGGAGTGGAATGGGAGGGTGGTGGGAGTAAGGGTAGTGAGTGTAGGAAGAGAGAGTAATTTAAAATTTTCCATTTATACAGTTTTGTATTGTTTAAGCTTTAACAGTGAGCATTATTATCTTTATAATTTTGAACCTGTGTTTTAAGCAAATTCCAAAATAAAGTTCATATTATACAGGTATATGTACATATATATATTCATGTTATATATGCAAGTAAAATCACTAAAATCCCACTGGAAAAAAAAAAGAAAAAGAAATTTCTTTTCCCATCTAAAGATAATTATTTAAGAACATTTGCTTTAATTTTATGATTAAGTATATGTATATATATTTAACTTTTTATTCCTTTTAGAAATATTTTCAGGAATGGTTTGAGGGGAGGCACTAACAGAATTTTTTCCCAAGTATCTCAATATTGTTTAATAAATAATTGGCATAATATTGTAATGGCTCTTATTCACACTGTTGGCCCATAGTCACACAGTGGTTTGTATGCAGCCTGGGGTAACTGCAGTGACACCCCATTTCAACTATAGGCAGCTTGAGGACTCTGTGTGTAACTCTCACAGTTCCCTGAATATGGTAGATGGCCACTGAACTCTTGTATAAAATGCACAATTAATGAGTCATTGATACACCTGGGAAAGTTTAACTTGGAAGATAAACAAATGTCTGCCCTGACTGGTCTAAATGTTTACCTTTTGGGAACAAGGGTGCCAAAGCCATACTTTTAGTGATCCTTTCCACTTATTTTATCTTCTACCCCCACTATTTTGATTGAATTGCTTAGATCTTTAGAATATAATATTGGTTTCTTAGGGCCTCAGGATTAGGACTAAATTTCAGATCTCAAGGCCTTTTAATTACTCTCCAGGAACAGTTATGATGCAGCTGGGCTAGTATTTTTCACACTTGAGTGATACAAATAGCTTTAAAATGTAGGTATTTTATGAACCTTCAGTAATGCCTTATTTTATTAAAACATCATTTAAATAAGGTGCATGTCCTTTTAGGTACATAGCAAAAAAGGCAGGGGTCATGGTTGCATGGTAGACACTCATATGATCCACAATATACACAATGTTAATTTAATATATTGTTTTAAAAGTATTGTGATTGAAGCAAAAGCACGAATTTCAAGAATTCTTATTCTAACAAAACAGAAATTGGAGAATTATTTTACCATCTACCACATTCAACCCTCAACCTTTGCCATTTTTCTAGGATGTGTGGATGTCTACCCAGTCTTCAATGCTCAATTTAAATGCGAACAATCACTAAACTAGATATAAACTCATCTGCATATACTGTAACCATTAAGCAACTACGAAACTAAAGCTAAATATAAACAAAACTATAAAACCAACACTTCAAATAACCTTATTTAATGAGATGAATGATATTGTTTGCTGACAAAAATGTCTGTTCATATCACAAATATGGTACTATTGTCTTCTATAAGCAGGGTTTTTTTTTTTTGGTTCTACATGCCTATTACTTAGTGAATGGACTTATTTGAATTTGTTCCTTCCTTCCACTATTAATCTTTTTTTTTTTTTTCAAGAAACCTTTATTAGTTGAACAGCACATTAATCCATCAGGATTTTCATGAATCATCACCAACTCTCAAATATCCTACCAATATTCTGACGAATTTGCTTCTAGAAGTTGAAAACCGAGCTGAATTTTGCTTTACAGATTTTAAGAAAACTTGTTTTTTTTTTTTTTGAGACAGAGTCTCGCTCTGTTGCCTACATTGGAGTGCAGTGGCATGATCTTGGCTCACTGCAACCTCTGCCTCCTGGGTTCAAGCCATTCTCCTGCCCCAGCCTCCCGAGTAGCTGGGATTACTGGCACATGCCACCATGTCTGAAGAATTTTTGTATTTTTAGTAGAGACAGGGTTTCCTCACGTTGGCCAGGCTGGTCTTGAACTCCTGTCCTCAAGTTATCCACTCGCCTTGGCCTCCCAAAGTGCTGGGATTACAGGCATGAGCCACTGTACCCAGCAAAGAAAACATGTTCTTTTGTCCCATTATGAAATAAAACCTCTCTCTGAAACCAAAAAGAAATGGTTCTGAGATGAAAGAAAAGTACTCAATGTGATTAAATATGTTAAAGTAATTTTTTAAAATTATGACTTATATACTTATTGTATCACAATCTGAGTACAGAGAGGATCTGGTTATTGTTTGTAAGTCTAAAAGCTTAACAGAATGTAACAGAGAAGCTGTCTGCAAAATTTTATAAAACAAATTTCAATTTTATAGAAAAGTATCATACAGGACTCTTAGGTTGCTCAAGACCCTATTTCCTAATAGTTTTTGAAAGCTGTTGACTTTCAGAAATGAACATGTTGATCTGGGCGTAAAGAAGGAGGATATGTAGAAAACAGAAGAGATGCCAATTCACAATGCAGCAGGCAATTAATTAGCAAGAGTCGTGCTCCTTGAAACATATGATTGAGGAGATCTGAAAATCTTAGAATAACAGAAGATACCTTCCAAGTAACTTTGCTGGTGTGATTTTCCACCAGAGTTCAATCAGTGGATTAGATCTTAGAGTAAGGTTGTGGTTCTCAACAGGAGGTAGTTTTGTACCCCCTCCCAGGAGATATTTGGCACTGTCTGGAGACATTTTTGGTTGTCACAACTGTGGGGGAAGGGTGTCCTGGCAGTTAGTGAGGAGAGGTCAAGGATGCTGCCAAACATCTTACAATGCACAGGACAGCACTCACAACAATTACCCAGTGCAAAATGTCAATAGTGCCAATCTTGGACACCCGAATTAAGATGTCCAAGCCAAAGTGCTGAATTCTTGTGTGCACAGGGCTTGTGTGGAGGCTCCTTCACAGGATACAGCCTAATGGAGGAGTCTCTTGCTTTACACACACACACACACACACACACACACACACACACACACTTTGTTAAAAGGCAGCAAATACTGTTACAGGACCCCAACAGTTACCCAAAGGTAGCTGTGCTGGGTCAGGGTTTCTGTACTATAGTCCCATCTGGGTCATGAGAAATATGTTACAGGACTTACCCAAAGGTAGCCATTGAGTCAGTGTTTCTGCACTATAGTCCCTTCTGTGGTCGCCAGAAATATGTTATAGGGCAGGGGTCCCAATCCAGACCCCAAAAGAGGGTTCTTGGATCTCATGCAAGAAAGAATTCAGGGCGAGTCCGCAGAGCAAAGTAAAAGCAAGTTTATTAAGAAAGTGGTGAAAGGACAAAGGACAGCTACTCCATCGACAGAGTAGGACGTTCCCAAAAGTAAGACAAGGAACAAATCCACCCTAGGTACAACACTTGTTTATATGGGGAGTTGTGCTCTGCTACCAGAGTTTGTGATAAAGAATTAATTTTCTTAATTAATTTCAATATTTTGCAAGAATCCATATTATTATTTTTAAAGCAAAAATACGAACACCTTCGGTTTCCAGTTATGGGGATATCTGGACACTTCCATGTCTGAGTTTGTTGAGTAAACATGATTAATTTGTTCCAATACTGTAAACATCCAGAGGCTAGGAATGTCTAACATTCTGAGGACGTAGCCCAGCAAGTCTCAGCCTCATTGGGAGTCGCTCTGGTTTGAATGCCTCTGACAGTACCACCCAGAATTCTCCCAGTCTCCTGGCACACAAGTTAGTCACAGGAGGATTGAGTTAGAGAGTTTTCACTGAGCCAGCCATACAGTAAGACCACTATTAAAGGAACTGCTTAAGGAACAGGTAATAGGAACTGTTCAAAGCATAACAGGATTCATTAATTCATTTATTTACCTATTCAGCAAAACTTTATTGAACCATCCCATGAACCCTTCTGCTAGGCATAGTGATACATGGTGAATACAACCAGACCTGGTCCCTGCCCTCTTGGAGCTTACAGCCTAGGAGGGAACTCTAAAGGTTACCAAGAAGGGGCCAGTTTGTACAATGAGGACTCCATGAATGTACATGATTGAGCTTGACAAGCTTTCACGTTTGTAATCTCATTTGACCTGCACAACCACCTCAGGAAACAACGTTTATTTCCTTTTTATGTTAAAAATGTGCCCAAGGTCAAAACAGTTTGTAAGTGGCAGAGCTGACCAAGTGACAATGAGGGCCCTGTTATAGCATTCTATAGAGCAGGGATACATATAGGTGCTCTTGCCTTGATTCGTACTGAACTTGCCTCTCCTATGTACCTATATGATCAATTCTCACTGATCATATAGGTACATAGCTCTTCTCTTTATGAAAAAAATGCCCCCACCTACTTCGTCCTTTTCCTTACAGCTGGGGATTCTAGTTGTTTCACGTACATTCGCCTTGTGTTTCTAATTAGATTGTAAACTCTCAACCTGTAGGGACCAGATCTTCCATTTCCTTTGCAACCTTTTGCAGTACTGCAGTCACCCAATAAATGCCCTCTGCATGAATGAACCTGTAGAGATAAAAATACTTTATGGCATTCCCATTTATAGGTTTCATGTTTTTATTTTGCTCTGTGATAGGGCTGTACATTATAAGCTTCTAGAGGGCAGAGAAAATGGCTTGGTGCTTTCCTTTACATTCAGCAGGAACCATGCAAAATTTGATCCTTGCATGCCTTTTTGATGCTCTGGGTAATATTAGCACGCTGGGTTGTTTTTGTGTATCTACGGACAGAGGTTGTCAGCATCTCTGCGGCGGAGAATGTTGCTGCCTTTTTACCTTAAGCTCCCATGGCGCCTAGGACAGGGCTAGATGACTGCAGAAGCTCCTCCATGCTTATTTCTAGTACTAAGGAAGCCAACTGCGAACATGGCAAGCTCTTGCATAACCCTAGACCTCGAAAGGAAATGAGCAAAGTGGAAGGTAGAAGGGGATTTGACGGCAGGTCAGAGATGGACTGGATGAGAATGCCGAGGCGTCTCTCTGAGAATCCAGCCCAAGTCTGACCAGCAGGGCTCGAGTAAGTGGCCGCCCGCTGTCCCTGGTCCCCCGAGGCAGCCCGCCCGCTCGCCCGCCGGCCCCGCACGCCCCCGGGAGCTGTCCAGACGGCCCCGCCCGCGCCTACCTGGGCACTCACTCGTGCCGCCGCGCGGCCTCTTCTCCTCCCACCCCGGCCACTGGAGCCCGGCTCGGGCCTGACTCGTTGCCTGCGAGTAGCCCCGCGGGCGGCGCGCTCGCAGCTTCCACCCGGCAGGCAGAGCGACGGGCCAGACAGCGCCAGGCGCGCCGGGGGCGGCGCGGTCAGGCTCGGCGGGGCTCGGCGGGCTCTCCCTCGGCCGGGCGCCTGCAGGGGGCGCGGGGACGGCCCCGCCCCGCCGCCTCCTCTCTCCCTCCCGGCTCCCTGGATCCGCGCCGGGAGGAAATGATGTGTTGCTGCCTGGTTAATCACAGCTCCAGACATTCATTGGCCGAGCGCTCCGCAGCCACTTCCTCCTCCTCCTCCTCCCGCTCCTCCCGCTCCGGCTCCTGCTCTTTGCAGCCGCCGCCGCCGCCGCCGCAGCCTCCCCCTCGGCGCTGGGGGAACTTTTCTACTCTCTGTGACCGTCTCCCCAGCCGCTCCCGGGGGCAAGCCCCCGCCCGCCTGCCCGCCCCGCCCGCGGCGGTGTTCCCAGCCCGAGCCTCTGCGCCTTGGGAAGTTTATTCCACCCGCCCTCCTCCCCTTCCTCCTCCTCTTCACCCCGCCTCCCCGCCCTCCCCCGGCTCTTTCCCCGGGTGGCTGCCGCTGCCGCCGCTGCCGCTGCCAGCCTGCTCCTCGGCCAGCCGTGCTGGCCCCAGCGCTGGGAAGCCCCCGGCCCCACGCACCGCTCCGCCGCAGCCGCCGCCGCTCGGGGCCGGCCCTCGTCCCCCAGTCCCCGGCCCCGCAGAGTTCCGGGCTCCCTCGCCGGCTGCACCGCCCCGCCCCGCCCCGCGCCGCGCCGACCTGCAGCGCCCGGCTGCCTCGCACTCCGCCTCCCCCGGTTCAGCCCCCGGCCGCGGCGGGACCCGAGGTGAGCGCAGGTCGCCGGCCGCGCCTGCTGGAGCCGGGCGGACCGAGGGAGGAGGTAGCCTAGCGGGAGAAGAGGCAGGGATCGGGGGTGGCTGGGTGGGCGTCTGCGGTGCCTCCCCCTCGCTTTCATTCCTTTCTCCCCCAAGCTTGATCCCTCTCCGTGGGGGAAGCAGCCGCGGAACAAAACTGTCTTGCTTTGGGCCTGAACTGCTGGTGGGGTAAGGGATTGGGAGCAGAGGCGTGAAGCGGGGGTCTCAGGTTTGCACTCGGGTGTGTGTGTGTGTGTGTGTGTGTATGTGTATGGTGTTGTGAACTCCTTCTGGGTGTGCGACTCTGACTTGTAAATCGATCTGGCCGCGGGGCCACGGGGCTCACCTTCCTAGCTGAGCTTGGTAGAGAGTAAGGAGATAGATAGGCGAATCTCCCCCACCCTCAAAATATCCGTCTCTTCCAAGAGGAATTTTCTGCTGGAGAGACAGCCAATAAACTCTGCTCAACTCCCTCCCTCCCTCCCTCGGTTCTTCCTAGCTGCAGTTTCAAAAAGCTTCAAAGCCAGGAATGTGGGATTCATCTTCCGATCCCCAGAAGGCAAATGTGGTTACAGATGTTGCACGGTACTTTGCCAAGTTTAAAACCCTTCCTTCAACACTGTAACCAAAACAGTGAGGCTAGAACCTCGGGCACTCTAAGAAGAGATGTGGGCCTCTGAGGCCGCTGGATTCAGTAACTTCCGTCGGGTTCTAGACCGGCTCAGCTCTGTCCAGTTTGTGCCAGATAGTCTTCCACCCCCTCCCCACCCCTCCTTTCCTCTGGAGATTTGAACGCTGCTTGCATGGGAGAGAAGCTACTTAGAGAAGAAAACGTTCCACTTAGTAGCAGAAGAAAAGTCTTGGTTAAAAAGTTGTCATGAATTTGGCTTCTGGAGAGAGGCAGCAAGGTAAATACAATGGACTTGTCAATTTTATTGGGCTTTTCTTTCTTTTTCGAAGGATGTATGATAAGAGTTAGATGATGGGCAAAGGGGCTGGTTCCATACATGTTTGTACATATTTTTGAAAAGAGGCCCATGAATTGAGACATAACCCAGTGGTTTTAAAGAATCCTGTCCCGGAGATGCAGATTGCTCTGACAGCCCAAGGGAAGGCGGTGGCAAAAAATAGACACCACCTCCCTTTTCCCCAAAAAAATTCTTCCTGGAAAGGTGGTGTTAAGAAATTTCAGAGATGGGCTGATCCAAGTGGCGGGCCTTAAATGGAAACACTATAGTATGTCCTGGCACTTGTCTCTGGAGGTGGGTTGCTGGCCAGGGGCCCAGGCTTGGGCAGCCAGCAGACACTAGACTTGTGCTGACCTCAGACTTCGGCCTCGCCATGCAGCTTTATAGTGTGCAGACTGCTTAAGTTTGAAATATGGTTCTCATCCATTCCACTGATTGGGACAGTGGGGTCAGGAAGTTATTTTATGCCTGGATGGGACTTGGATCACTTATTTTATGATTTGCTTGTTTTTGTTTTCTGTCTTGGGATTTTAAAAAATGGAATTCCTTTGAAACTGAAATGTAGACCTTCAGTTGATGTAACTGCGTGTTGGATAATAGTATTTCTACTATTACCCTTCATGCAGGTACTCACAGGTAGTGAATGATGTAGAGATAAATTCTAGATAGGTGACAAAGACCAAGGATTGAGATGGTTGTAGATTGGGTTCACACCCTCCCTTTTCAGCTGTGTTGTTGAGTTTTACTTGAAATTGAGAGGCTGGTTTTAAATAAAACTTGATTTAGGTAGTAGTCTTACAACTTTTGTACCTTAGAAGAGAGTGATCATTTGAATCCAAGTAAGTTTCTTATTATCTCTAAGTAATTTTAAGGAAAATTAAGGATACAGAGAAAGTTGCCATATTCAGTAATGTAATGTGTTAATTTCAGAAGTGAGGAACAATTTTATTAATAGCATTGTAATGAATTTTTTTCAAAGCAGTGATTTACCAGATTTTCTTCATGTGTCCAAGGAAGGTTTAACAGAGATTGAGTCAGGAGATAGAGGTTATGCCTCTATCTTGCCCTAGTTTGGACTGAACTAGTCCTATCATGGTCATGATCGGCTTCTAGGTAATTTTCAGGCTTGGACTGAGTAGTCCAGTCTTCTAGGGGAGGGGGGAAACAGGACAGAAATGGATTTGAAAAATGATCCTGCTCTTCAAGGTCATGAGGTGAAGATGGAATCAATGCTGGGACTGGGAACTGTCGTCTGTGGCTTGTTCTGCTCTTGGATCCCTGCATCTTGATTTATTTTTATGTGAAGGGATCTCCTGCCCAACTCAGTAGGAATTCTGGAGAAGCAAACCACTGATGGTAGCAAAACTCTTTGCTATGTTTGGGTTACTTTAATGACAGGGTAGTTTAGGGGTGCTGGATATGTGCCAGGCACTGTGCTCAGCTCTTTCTTTACATGTACTTTTTCATGACATTTCCACAAACACTGTATGTCTTATTATTATTTTACCCTTCTACAATAAGAAATTGAGGCTTGGCAAATTTCAATGGTAAAGTGGGGATTTGAACCAGGGATCTGTAGGACTTCAGAACTCATGGTCACTTTTGCCAGTGATTGTCAAACTTCATTCACTCACATACTGTCTTCCTGAGTTTACCATGGCTGAGTCCCACTTTATTAATGTTTTTCTTTAAAGCAAGATCCATTAAAGAAAAGAACCTAAAGACATCATTTTTAAAGAGGAAACTATGTATTACTTCTGTATTTGGAAAGCCAACTCAACTTGTAAGGAATAGGAGGTAGTCTTAAACATGCATTTATACTTGCATCGAAACCCCGAGTTCAGAATAATGATTATGTGGAGTGTGTGTATGTGGCAGGGACCTGTAATAAAAATGGAGGAGGTAGGTAGATGATGCAGTATTGGTGATGTTCTGGTTTTTGATTGGGCGATGGGTTCATAGGTGCTGATTTTATTTTTAGACTTTATCACCTACATACACGATATATACTTTTTTTTGTGGAATGGTGAAGAAAATTAAACACATAACCATTAATATAATGATTACTTAGGGACTATTTTACTGCACTGTGCTGACTGTAGACTTAGTTTGGTGCCTTGTATGCAGTAGGGACACAAGAACTCTTGGCTGATCGACAAGACCCCAGGAAATCATTGTAAAGCAAGCTCATTGCTTGTTATATTTGAATAAGGTTGAGGTATGTCCCCCTCACTTCTACTCTCATTGCCAATATTGCAACTAAGTAGCGTGGGCTGCAGTGAGGTTTCACCTGACTGCAGTTATGGGAGACCCAGGCTGGGCTGAAGCTGGCACTTTTCAGCATCACCTTGTCTTAGATATCTAGCACTTGGGATGGGGCAAAGAATGCTGTTGTGAAGTGTTAAGACTCTTTCCTTTCTACCCAGTAGTAAGGTGTGACCATTCAGAGCTGGAAGCAGTATTTAAGTTTAAAGCAGGACTTGGCTGAAATGTTAACAACATTAAACTGGTGAGGCTGGGAAATAAAGCCATCAGAAATTTTAATTGGAATCCACAGAATCTCCTGTGTTATTTTCCCAAGCAAGCACTGGGCACTGTGGCTTTATTCCTGGAAATGAGGATTTGGAATTGGGTTTCCTGGTGCAGAATGCCTTCTTTGATCTTTTGGAGTGAAAACTTTGTGTTTCTTTCTGTGGCCAATTCCAGCTCTTACAAGAACCAAATGGAAGATTTACCTCTTCATTTTTAGCATTTGGCCATAGACTGCTCTTGCTTGCCATGTTAAGTTTAAAAATCAAAAGTTCCAAACTAGGATTTGTCTATTGGAAGGACATTCAAATGAAAGACTCCTTTTGAAAGAGCCTCATCAATTTGGTGTGGTTGGCACATCACAGCCTTTGGTTCGGATGGGAAGTAGTTTTGCTTGAACTCACACTCTCAAAATTAACTACTAAGAGATTTGGCAGCTTGCTTTTCTGAGTTAACATAAATACACCCTCTGCCCCTAATATTCAAACTGACTGCACATTTGAATAATATTCCTGTGCTCTTCTAGGCAGTTCTGGAAATGTGGGATTGTTTATATGTATAAAGAGTCTTACGTGATCCATGAGAGCCTTGTTTTCCAGAGCCACTGCCATTCAGTTATTTAATTTTTGGGTTTCACACTCTGACCAACATTCCACTTTGCCCATTGGAGTTGCTTCATTGTTGACTCTGGGTATTAGGCCTTTATTTCTGTGACTGAGAAAGTAACTTTGAATTTCCCTAAATTTTGTGGAAGTTTGTGCAGTAGGTAAAGGTTGATTTGAAGAGGGGGAGGGGGTGGGACCACATTTAGCATATATGTCCTGAGGGATCTCCCAAGGTCAGTTCTCAGTTATCTTGAGGCCAAACCTTGGCTGTTCTGGTCTCTGCAGTGGCCCCCACCCCCTCCTTTGTGGGGGGATCCAACATTTTTAAAGGCTTAGAGTAATCTTATTGCAAGCAAGAATGCTTTCTGGATTTTGCTATTTTGCTTTTGACAGTCTCCTAAGGTTTTATCATCCCCATTTCTTATTCTGGGACGTGATTATCTTTTTGAGGGCAAGGGCTTCAAGGTGTTCTTTCCTCCATTGATTCTTTCTACACAAGTCATTCCCCTTCACCAATTAAAAACCTTTCAGATTCTCTCCCTGGGCTCCTTGAGGGTGGGGCTGGTCCTATTCATCTTCTCTGTAACTTTTGCACCTAACACAGTGCCTGGCCTACCTAACACAATGCCTGGCCTAGACCACACTGTGAATAAATAGTTTTTTAATTGCCGAGAGAATGAATGAATGATTTCATGTTAAGGGAGGAAAGGGACTCAGTCCTCCAGGGAATTAGGCAAATCTTGGACAAGATGATACCAGTCACTGTAAGGATGAGTTTGGAAAGTGGGGACAAAAGACACTGCATAGAAGGAACTGCTTTTGATACCTCTTCTAAGAGCTTAATGTTGTAACCTGTGCTTAGTCAATCCCACAAACATTTATTGTGTTTGTTTCAGCATATGTTTCTTTCTTTGTTTTTATGTTTAAGGGTGATGCTTCCATTTTTGGGAAGAATATCTCACTAATTTTTTATATCCCACAGTTAGGACCTAAACACTCAGTGAATTGATTACTTTACTCTGACTTTTTCCTGTTGCATATGTTTCCAAACACTTGACAGTGAAAATATAGTGGTGGGCAATGCTTA